TGTGTGTGTGTGTGTGTTGGGAGCGTTGTTTTCTCGGGGGGAAATAAGTGACAGCCGGCGGGGATTTAAGGTTTTGCTTCCATGGGATGAGCAGACCCCGCTGATCCCGTGGGAAATGCTCTTTCTTAGGGGCGACACGCGGCACAGGAGGGCTTTTTTTTCCCACATTCATTCCCTTTTATTGGATATTTGAATATTTTGCTTGTCACTTAACTCCCTTTCTCCCTCCCCTTGTCACTAAACTCCCTTTTTTCTCCCCTTTGAAGCCTTAAAATCCATGTCCACGACACCCATCACCATTAAAATAATTTGCTGCTGCTCTTGTGCAGCAAGAAACCCGGGGATGGATCCCCGGGGATAAATCCCCCCAGGGAAGAGGCTCTTTCGAAGCCCCGTGGCTCGGTTTGCCCTGAAGGGGTGACACAGGAGCCTTTCATTGCCCCGGAGTGACATCGGGAATCTCAAATGTAGCAGCTGCTCGTCAGCACAGACAGGGCACGGTCCGAGGTGTGCCTGAGTCATCCTTTGGAATTCCGCTTTCCAAGGCTTAAAACGGGGGGGGGGATCAGCGGGAAAAAAAACAAAAAAAAAACAAAAAAAAAAGAGGATGTTTTGGGTTATTCTGATTTTTCCCCACCTCCGATGGAGGTGAGCGACATAATCCCGCCAGGGAAAAGCCGGGCAGTGACTCAGCTGATCGGCGTCTCCTCCTGCTCCTTCCCAGTTCCCGGTGGATCGGGGCGGGGCTGGCAGGGGGAATTCGGCAGCACGGCGTGGCAGGGATGGGTGGGGTGTGCTGGGAACACCGAGCCATGCTGCTTCCAGCCCTTTCCAGAGGGTTCTGTCATGGCCCTGCAGGGACCCCCCCTCCCCTCATTGCCCTGCACAGGGAAAGGGAGAGACCCCTGTGTGCTGTCTCATGGAAAACCAGCTCATTTGGGTGCTGTTTTCCCTCCCTCCCAGCAGAGCGGGATGTGGGGGGCACCCCAGGGTGGATGTCAGGAGGAGCAGATCCCCACCCTGCCCTTCCCTCCCGGGCTTTGTTTGGACGGGGAAACTGAGGCAGGGGGTGACAAATCCCTTGCCCTCCCCTCCAAATTACAGCACAGGGCAGGGCTGTGACCAAGGCCAGGGGTGAAGCCTTGGCAGGGCTCAGATCTGCAGTTAGACCCAGCCTGGAGTCGAAAACCTCCCCAACCCCACGCTGTCCTCCGCCAGCAGTTGGATTTTGGGAGGGGGGCATCTTGTGTGTCAACACGGGCAACACCTGAGATTTTTCAGCCACTTCGAGGCAACTGCTGCGTG